AGATTCATTTTATTTTACCTAAAAGACCGGCTTTTAATGAACCTTTTCAATAACTATATCAAAACATTCTCTCGTACTTTCTCTGAAAAAAAAATCAAACAGTTCAAAATATGCCTAAATGGCTGTTGATCCCCCCCCATAAAATGACATAAAATTATGCAACTTTGTATGCTGCAATGCCATGCAATCCCACTTTTAAATTTTGTGTGCTAGCAGATCGTCCTTTTATCTCTGAAAATATAAATTTCTTGTTAGGTTATTTTAAGTCTGCATAGTGACCCATTGAAATACATGTAATGTACTTTGTGTCTTTTCCCCAGAGGTAAAGTAGAGGCCAATTTCCAACTTCATTGGCCTCTTAAAGGGTATGACATATACATTTACAGAACATGATATACATCATATTAAAGCTTTATCATTGTAGTTTAATTCCTTCAATTGTCTTTCTTGGCCTGCCATAAGCAGTGCACCCAGGTTGAAAAGAGTTTGTGCTCAAAAATGCGATGCAAACCCCCTGAACAGCTGTCACCATTTATTTAAAGGCCTATAAATAGGTTTGTTATATTTAGTAATTGTCAAAACTGCTTTGTTTATTTCTTTATTTAGGAACTCAGGTGTGCAGCCTCATTGGGAATTAGAAACAAATCCAATTTGTTATCTTTGAAAAATTAAAATATCGTGGCCTCTTTCTTACATAACAGTTAAACAGAAGAGCCCGGCACTATCAAAAGAATTTCAAACTGAACTTTTTTTAACAAAAAATTATCAAGTTTCTGAAGCCATTTTAAAGCAAAGTTGTACCCTATATTATTCCTGAATTAGTGTCAAATTTCTAGATGCATAACTGGAAATATGACAAATTCTGTTAGTGCCTCATTCATTACTTTTAGTGCCTCTCGTGCTTGCACAGTAAATGCAAAAGGCCATTCTTCAAGCAGATGGTGCTCTAACTAACCAACAAAGCTGTTATCATTGAATCATTTACATGCCCTAAAGAATCCTTCCTCAAAGTCTTTGGCTTCTCTCATTATGATTATCATGATATCTGAAAGAGACTGTAATTAAGGACTTCATAACTAGAAAGTTGGTCTCAAAGGCATTAAAGCTACTACCTAACCCACCTTCTGGTTTGATCTCTTTCTCTTGCTTTTCAACCAGACGACCTTGAAGAGCCTTTAAGTACTCCACAGTCAACTCCAAAATCTCTGCCTTCTCAAGCTTTCCTGATCCCTGTTGAATTGATATCAAGGAAAAAAATCATCTTATTAATAGAGCCAACAGGTGATCAACTGTAAAATATCATTCTTATAACAATTCAACAAAGTAAAACTGTTTTCAAATGCTATTTCCTCACATGGGAAAATCCTGAAGAGCAAACAAAGGGAACTAATGAAAGGAGATATATTTATAAGCATCATAACCATTGCAAAGAGGAGACTCTGCATCATTACAAGTCCTTTCAAATTCCCTTTTCTACCACCTTATGGTAGCATTTTTTTAATTACAGTAGCTCAGAATACCTTCCATAACTTGAACGTTCATGCCTGCAACCTACCTGTTTGCTGTTACACTGTGCTGGAAGCAGCTGGGAAAGTTCCCCCAACGATGTGTTGATACGGTCTCGACGCCTCTTTTCAATCACTTTGTGAGAACATTCAGACTGCAAACAAACAAACAAATTTTGAATTCCTTAAGTTCCATTTTCATTTCATTTATCACTTCACCCAAGATGTTCATTTCAAGTTTTTGCAATAAATTATAATTGGAAAGAAAAAAAGGACCAAGTAATTATTTCTTTACCCTTGGGGTCTAAATTCACTTCCCTTTATTTAATTTAATTCATCTTTATAACATCTTTTAGATTTAAATTTATTCTTTTCCTTCCTCTGAGTTAAAACTTGTTATATTTAGACCAAAAGCTGGGATACATTTCTACACCTGTATGCATGAAAGAGGTCTAAACAGATTGTGTTGAAACTAAAAATTCCCCTTCAAGAATTCTCAAACAGTGAAGATAAATGAAGGTTTGGATGAAAACGTCATTAAAGATCACAACCTGTTTTTCAAAAGCTCTTATGTGAATACTGAATACACATTTGAACAGTAAAGAATCATGGTCCATCGTGCCTCAAAAGCTGAATAGCTGTAAGATATTCTCCCACGTTTTATCAAGTGATGTGTAGATGTGGGAATTACGAAAAATAAGACTTGCACCGAGGACTTTGGAAATGTATGTAAAATCAAAAATTAATAAAAGTAAAGTAAAGGAATAAAATTACAAAATTATATAACATTGAAAAAGAATCGAGTTAGGATGTTCTCCAAACAAATATAACTAAATTTGAAACTGTCAGAACTTTATCAGGTGAATGTTTTCTAATTTAATAAATGAAATGAGGATAATTTATAATTTTGTCTATTGTGGGGTCTAAGGGGTCGTGTTCGATACACGTCGGCTCCCTACACTTTCAAATTGGGAATCTTGTGCCATATACCAACAAATTTTACACAACCATCATTTAGTCTATTCAAGACTTGAACACTATTTTCAACGGTCACTGCAACGTCAAAACTGACCAACGGTTTGCAGCACCAGACAACGAAACTTTCTATAATTCATGCATAAACAGAGACGTACCCCTCGATCCCTTTGTTTCCTCAGTCCTGTAGCTTGTACCAACATAGATTCGTTTCCTTCTCCACACTGTGACTGATCTCCATTTAAACTTAAGGTATCATCGGTAGCAGCAGACTCAGATCGTTTGGAGTTCGATTTTAAAATGCTTGATTCGAGACTTTTCATTGGAGTTGACGGACGAAAGCTGCTTTCAGATGTGTCACTGGAAACACTGACGCTGGAATCGTTTAAACTATTCAAAACATCTTCCATAACAACATTTACGGATCGCTTGGCGTTTGATTGAGATTTCAGGTTACCTTTACCAAAGTTCTTTTTCGGCGTCGAAGGACGGAAAGAACCTCCCGACTCATCGATGGAGGAATTGACATTAGTGATATCAGCCGTGGTGGAAGTGTTTAGTGAGGATTTTCACGGAGAGTTCTTCAGAAGTTTATACGTGGACTAACGTGGACTAATGGCAAAACCTGCTTTCGTATCTATTAGTCTCTAGAGAATTTCTGGATGATTCAGATAACAATTTGAAGACATCACAAGTGTTAGAACGACCCAAAGCAAGAACGTTTCTTCTACGGCACATGTTTGCGTAAAAACACGAGACCAGAATTTAGTACACGCGTTAGGATCTGCCCCTTCGTTATATAACAGAGCGAGTAACCGATAAGTCCAAGCCGAACCCGTGTAACTCGTGTCCTAAATTAAACCAATAGCCGCAAATCGTTTATACAAAAAAATTTCAATAATTTCAGAGTTCAAATAGTAAGATTTGTGAATCAAAGTAAAGATCTTTACTCTGCATTCGATTTTAAAGCTGAAGTGTATAATTTCCGGTGTGCGTGAGGATCGGTACTCGTGTTGACTTCTCTCGTCGACTCACTCCCAAGCCTCTCACGAAATTCACGGCCGCTCGTGACCGGAAGTACACGTTAAAAGGATATTTCTGCCCTGTCTCCAGTGGAAAATAATTAAAACTTAGTTTAAAGCAAAAAGTTGCTGAAACAAAAAGTGCGCAATGCATTAAAGGTTCTTTAAATAGGAGTATAAGATCTGCCTAGTCCTAATATTTAGTTATTTGGATCGCCTAAATTTTCCTTTTGCCAAGAGAAAACATCAAGACAAAATGACTAAGTATTGGGGAACAAATGTTTATGTTCTTTCCTTCCTTTATTGTTAAGTCATTCGCGTAAATGGTTTGTCGAAACTTCAAAGGGCTACCATACAAACGAAGTTTTTCATTCGCTTTAAGTATGGCTTTAAATGCGGAAAGAAGTAATCACACGACTCGTAGACGGCACGTGTTTTTGCTATTCAGTTATCAACACGTGAATTTAAACTCATTCCCAGACCCTCTCGGGAAAGCTTCACGCAGGTCACGTAAGGTACACTTTCTTCTGGAGCTGTAAGAATTTAAGGAATAGCAATTCATGTTGCATTCAGCCGAAATGTAAACTAGTAATTCTGAATGCGTACCAAAGAAAAACGAGATTTCATGACCATTATTTTAAAAATTTTAAATTTGAGCACTTTCCTCTAGGTTTCATATCAAAAGCGAGGAGTTTTGCCCTTCAGTTACCTGTTTCCACCATTAAGTGCAACAAATCAAGGCATATCCTGGATTCAAAATTAAACGGACAGACTACGAAGAGAGATGGAAAAAAAATTAACATCGGTATGAAAACTTGAAGAACCCAAGATTAAATCATGCACGAAAACTCGGTGATCAAATAGCATGAATAGAAAACAAAGAACACTCCTCTACATGAACCGTTTTAAATTTTAAATGTTATTTAGATCTTGAACTAGAAAACGAAGACCCACTTTAAAACGCTTTGTCAGGTGCCGAGAGACAAGGCAAGGATGGGATCTTCGTTGTGTAGAAGTCTGGGTCAAACTAAATTCGCTCCGACGAAGGGCTAACGCTCGAAACTTCAGCTTTTTAACTCGTTACGGTGGCCAATTTACAATTTCAACTTAGTTGATATAAGCAATTATCTTGTTACCCCCACCGACGTAGCACCACAGTTTCTTTAAAAACTTTCACCCTTTAAAAAATGAAGACCTTACTTAACATTTCGTAACGCCCTACGAGCTTGTCAAAATACGGCACAACTCGTAAAAATACTCAGCGATACCACCCAACAAACCGTCTAAGAAGATATATTGATCAAAGATCTTCGCTTTGTAGTTTGACCCAGCCTTTTCTAGTTTTTACACAACGACACCATCGATTGTTTTTCTTTAAGATTTGATGTCTTCCGGCTTCTGTCAATGCGTAAAGGGCTTCTGGCCTATCTCAACCCTAAATTTTCAGAGTTTTATTTAATTTGTGGATTTCCGCAATACTGGCACCTGTCGCAAGATGCACCTGTCGGAAACGAAGAATCTGAAAGGTATCTCCGAGCCTTTTGTTCACAATCACATTTACGGAAATAAACTGAAAAAAAAAAGAGACGACCACCAAAGTTACAAAACCAAAGTTATGAAAACAGCCAAAGAATTCGTACATATCGAAATTGACCGGCCATAACTCAAAGTGATTATAAGAGAGCCTGGGCGCGGATACACACGCGTGACCAAGTCACGGTTGGTGTTAGGTTTGTGAACATGCTGGGGTTTCGTTTCCCCTCCCTGTGTGGCTTTATAACTCGTTCCGATTTCTCACAGCTTTAGAACAGTACGAGACGACTGGGGATGAATCAAAGCTTGTAAGTAATATTAAGAAAAGAATTCTAGTAGTGAAGAAAATAATCAGAAGTCAGAACGAAGAGGTCATTTAGGCGCCGGACAAGCGCTCCGAGCAATTTAATGGTTTTCATTTGAGTTCTCATTGGCCGTTTGGCATATCTTCCTTTGCTCTGATTTGCCGCGGTGATCAGCCTCGTTCCCAAGTAAGAGACAAGGCCCTGGCAATAAGGTTGCGTGGTAATTACTTCGGTTATGGTTTGAGGACTCTCGACTGAAAAGCACCTAATTGTGTTGTTTCCTCAATAAAGAGGGAAATTTTGTGTGACAAAAAGGACTACTCATCAGTATCTTGTTACTTAATTCCTTTAACATGTCCATGAAAAAGTCTATGGGCAACCTTTCAAATGCGAGCTAACGAAAGACAGGGACTTAGTAACGTGAAAAAAAGCAGTTCATGTACATGTTTTGCACAAGAAAACTTAAACTTTACACATTGAAGTTAAGATCTTTTTCAGTGACATTGTTCACAACGTAAAGAGACACGAGTTTACGTTTAGTACTCAGCGGGAAAAGAGTGTTAGACTTGGCCACCCCACGCATTCTCGCTCCAGCCTCGTCATCGATTCCTTAATATCAGTAAATTAGCAGTTCCATTGATGCCGGATAGGAAAAAAAACTATCTGTATGTGTATGCTGTAATTGAAATGTCTGTTTCCTTGAAAACTTCTTCCACAATTCTCTTTACAAAAGGCCAATCAATTCTGTCAGCTCCAGTCCCTAAGCGGGGAATAGCCAACTTATCAACTCTATTCTCCTGGGAGTGCTTCCTCAACTGCATCAAACAGGCGCGCAATGATGAGGGTGTGGCATGGTCCCACCAGTTCTCTCTGGTGATCTGCAAGTCAGTCATAACAAATTATCAATTCGATTTCAGCAGCACTTGAGAAAGTTAAGGGTTCAAAATTGTTTAAGGTTCAGTACATTTGATATAAATTCTTAACAAAAGCGTGAATAACGCGATGAAGAGCTTCTCCACAGCTTCCACCAATTAAAGTTGATGATGATACTGTTATTCTCCCATCTAAGGTCCGCCCATATCACCGTTATTTGCTAGTCCTCTTTAACTTCACATTCGTAATATCTATGGTATCAGAAATTATGTGTCTTCCGACCATGCCTTTGTTACTTCAAGACTGGATAACTGTAACTCTTTACTTTTTTTTTCTTTCTCGCCGCTTCATTCACAAATTACAAATTGTATAGCTTGTACAGCTCGCCTAATTTTAGACGGTCGCAAGTTTGATCAGATTTCGCCATTACTTAAACAGCTTCATTGGCTTCCAGTTGAACATCGTACTGTTTTAAAATTACTTCTAATCACTTTTAAGACTCTTTACAACTTTGCTCTGTGTCACATCCGTGATCTGCCTCACAAGTATGCCCCCCTTGTAGGCGATTGAGGTCATAAACTAACTAATCCACGAGTTCCTCCATCAAACTTGAAATCTTGCAGTGATGACGCATCTAACGTATGTGTTCCCAAGTTATGGAACAGTCTCCAAATTGACATTACGCGTAGCTCTAGTAGTACTTCAATTAAGTCGTCTGTAAACATTTCTCTTTTTAAAAAGCACTTTTTATCTTAGGTGATCATTAGCTTTCGCATTTTGTTGTAAAGCGCTTTTGAACTTTTGTATACAGTGTCATACTATTTTTTATCATCATTATTATTATTATTATTATTATTATTATTGTTATTATTATAAGTTGCACTATTAGTAATATTATTTTTATTATTATAATCCCACAAATAACATTTCTCTTCAATACAGCACATGACAAGATTAACCAGGGGCCACGAAAAAGGAAGACTAATGAGAGTGGTCAAACTAAAAAAGTTAAAAAATATCTCAGTGAAGAAAGTAACACTTTCCTAACAAAATAGAGAGGAGACAAGATAAAGTATTTCTCCCTTAACAAAAGACTTACCAAATAATACACAAAGCTTGATTCATTTCTCTCCAACACAGCAATGTCACCCACTTTTCCTTGTTCCTGGAACTGCAGACCTGTAATCATGAACAGTCACTTGTAAACAGTGAACATTCTGCAAACATTCTTGAATCATTTCATGCAAATGACTTGGATGTGAGATGGACAATTAACTGATTTAGTGGGTCGTGTGCAGCAAGCTCTGAAATCTAAGAGAAGTATTTCTACATGAATAAAAGATGAAGTCACCATTCTGAGTTGTGATGTTTGTTTTATGGCAGCCAGTTTGAAAACAAGGTGACAAACCAGGTCTTCAGTGAGGTTTGTGAGGATCTACAACTATCAGAAAGTTAAAAAATATGAAAAGTGTGATCTCTTGTCAAGAGAAATAAAAGAAATTTCTAAGTACTCCTTTCTCAGTGGCTCCAAGCAGTTTACATACATACATACATACATACATACATACATACATACATACATTTATTTGGTAAAGCAGGTTAAGTTACATACAATGGCAGCAAAAAGCTGATGTGGACCTGCCTAAAATAAATTAAATAAAAGTAGGATGATGTAAAATGTATAAATAAAAACAAGTTAAAAATATAAATAGTCATCGTGTTTATTAGCGATCATAGGAGCTCTAAATGAGAAGTTACTAATGTCCTTGGAAAATCTATGCAAAATTTGCTTGAATTTGTCTTTACTCATCGACTCATTTATATTAATCTATTAAGAAATGTCCAAATTGTTGGTCCTCTATATTGAATAGATTGTTTGCCAATTTCATATTTGACACGTGGAATAACAAATTGGCTTCCCTTTCGTGAAGGTCTACTACCAGACTTTAAAGTAAATAAAGATGCAAGGTCNAATTCCATACAATTCTTACAATTCCATACAATTCTTACAATTCCATACAATTCTTACAATTCCATACAATTCTTACAATTCCATACAATTCTTACAATTCCATACAATTCTTACAATTCCATACAATTCTTACAATTCCATACAATTCTTACAATTCCATACAATTCTTACAATTCCATACAATTCTTACAATTCCATACAATTCTTACAATTCCATACAATTCTTACAATTCCATACAATTCTTACAATTCCATACAATTCTTACAATTCCATACAATTCTTACAATTCCATACAATTCTTACAATTCCATACAATTCTTACAATTCCATACAATTCTTACAATTCCATACGATTCTTACCCCTAGGCTCAGTGCTCAGCCCTGGGTGTTTCAGCACACCTTGAACTCAAACCTGTTTTCAAAATAGCTGCCACAAAACAAACCCCATAAAAATAAATAATCCATCTTTCATTAAGACAAAACTACTTGGTAAAAGGGGGAACTCCTTGGTTAGGAACAAGTTGGTTGCAATCAAATTCATAACAGTTTTAAAACAGTAACATTTTTCTGGCTTTTTCATGACTCTGTAAAAATCATATCCAGAAGTTTCACTTTGCACAGTTGTGATGCTCCACAGAAAATCAATTTGTCTACTATTTTGGTGAATTAAATCAAAGCAATTCTTGAGAGGAATTTGACCTGTGTTACTTATCACCTCATTACCCTTTGTTGCATGGCAAGACAAGATGCATACACATAAAAGCACGAGTTATTTTGTATATCCATTTCTTGCTTAGAAATCCCATCCATAAAAATATGTTGGAACTCCAAATTCAGTTAGGAAGGAAGGACAAAATTATCATTCTGAAAAAGTCACTAAATTGTTCCAAAAAGAGAGATCAACATTATTTTATTCAGCACATGATGGAAGAAAAAGTTAATCAAACCTTTTGTGACAAGATCCTGATAATTTCCAAACTTTTTTTTAAATTTTTTAGCAATACCATCACTCATGTCAAAGTCTGCACTGACACAATGGGCCAAAGATGTGCTTGGATCAGGAGTCAGAACCACTCTTGACCAACCACTCATTTCAACCAACTCAAACTTGTTTGTGTTCTAAAAAATAATGAAAAGAAATCATATCATTATAAGACTGAAATGAGCTTTGTTAATTCTGCCACCCCTAGAAGTGACAAATATAAAATTTCTTCTCTCAGCAGAAATGCCTTTTCAAACAAAAAGGAACATGTAATGATAAGAAATAACCTGATCCAACTCAAGAAATATGGTTTAATTAATATCAAATTTGACCTATTTTACACATAGAGGACCTAAGGTGGTTCCTACAGAATACCATATTTATCTTGTAAACAGAAAAGGACTAGGCTCCCTTGCAGCAATTCTTCTGCTTGGTTTACAAAATATACCTTGAGGCCTTTATTAATATGACAAACTAAAAGGTTACATTTGTACTCAATTCAAGGGACCAATGAATGAATTGCTAGTAATCGGATCCTTGTGTTTGCACAAAGATTTTTTTGGTGTTGCAAAGCAAATATTGCAAGTTGCCAGAAGGAAATATATAGCAATATTCGAAACAACAATTTTGAGAGGGATCATCATTTTTTGCCACTGCATTATCATAAATGGATTTAATAATGTTGATAAGAGGGAAGCACAGGTTTTTGTTTGAATAACCATGAAAAATGAACTAAACATTTGGAAAAGATAGCAATAAATTGCAAGAAAATAAATCAATAAAGCATATTTTTATTTAACTGTTTTATTTAAGTGTATTAAGTCTACTTCTAGCTTTTTTCTTGGCATAGTAGTACAAAGAAGCACTACAAAAGCAACCTCAAGACAGGAGATTGAAATGGTTAAGCATAGTATCGATTGTGATACAAAAACGTGAGTAAACAACTGCATTGCTTATTTGTTGTGATTCATGAGATCAAATCAATGTTAATAATATGATTTTCCATAATATGATGTTAAGATGGCACATTCTATAGAAACTAATAAGTCTGTTTATTCTCACCAGTTATGTGTCATATCATGAATTGGAAATGGGAGAAGTTACATTTAAACCTTAAGAGTTATAACAAGCACAACATTTAAAAATGCAAAGTCATTTAGTGAGTAATTTCAATAACCAAACATCAAATAAGTCCCTTTGAATAAAAGGATTACATTAACAATAGGCATCCTAGGTGGACATATTCTTAGATAGTTGATTAACGTGTTGCTTGGCAGTCAGTAGATAAATGACCCGATAGATAGTTGATGATCAACTGAATTTACCAATAGTTGTTCAAAATTTTTGTTGACATGTTGACATGTTGCCAGCATACAAGCTCGGTTGAGTGCGGCTTGAGTATTGAATTTTTGGTACTGGCCAATTATCGCCCAGTTCACAATTTTATTGACCACCAAACAATACAACTCAACTGTTGACTACCATAGTAACTTCTACATCAACCAAGGCTATCTGTTCGGGAACGTATCATCCGATTTTTATTGATCCCAGTGAGAGTAGGAAAATAAATACCTTGCTAACTTGGCTTGCAGATTCTGTAGAAAAGAAACATCGAGCTGCAAGGATATAGAGACGTCTCTTGGAGCCAAACAAAGCTACATAAAAAAAAAGTACTTCTTTGAAATCTGTCCAAGCTTCAAGCATAAATAAACTATCACGATATCTAGAGAAATGCACACGTCGCAAGTACAGTATCCAAAGAAATGTACACGCCCTTTGAGCTATATTTCCTTTTCCGGATGGAAACAGTTTCTCGGGTATTCTCTCGAATTCCCTGCTCTTCTCTGATCCCCTGACACACGAATTTAAAGAAGCTGTGGATTAATTATCCAAGCATCAAATGCTAAATTGAGCAGTTTCAAGCCTGTCGAAACAGCTACAAATCAAATTGGGCCAAATAACTAACCTACACATCGTTACAACTTACTAAGTGCTCTCTTCTGCAACATAGTGTCTTTTAGGGACGGAATTGCATGTAAGATTGACTTACTGCCCGTACCACGATCCTCTAAACTTAGCGACTTTCGACAAATTCTACTGGGCGTTCCAATATTGCCCAGTCTCTTTCAACGGTACTTATCCCCAGTCGCGTCTCGATCTTTCAACAGTGAGAGTGCTTTTCCCTTCCCAGCCTGAAAGCAAGCTAAGTGAAAAAGAAAAAAAAAAGAAAAAAAAGAAAAGAAACAAGTAAAGAACAAACTCGTGAATCGAATTTAACGTGCAAACAATATCATGAATGTCAGTCTTTCAATCGATTTTTTTTCTCCGAAGCTTTCGGATAATAATCAGTCTGTTCGACTTTGATAAATAAAGGGTGCTTTCGATTGAGAAATTGAAATCTGGATTTCAAATTTTTCAGTAAAATATGAAATCGAAACACGGATTTTGAAGCTGAGAAATCCATTCTCGGCGTGGATTTCAGTCAAGAAATCTTCTATTTCTTTTATTTGCGTTTTTTAAGGAAATTCGAAATTGCATCTTTCTTTTTAATTTAAAATTTACCCGTGATCAGTAATTTAACTCCATCATATGATGGTTGAAAGGGAAGTTCTGTTGCAGAAGGATAAGAGCTTTTCACAGAATAGATACTCTAGACTTAAAGTATTTCATATCATGTTAACGGAAGAAAAAAAACGGGTGCGACAGGTTACAAATAGTACAGGTTTAAAACCGTGAAGCTTCTCTTTTGTCAATCTATTGATCATCGGTATTTCGAGTCCCATGTCTGTGATAAAACACCTTTGTATCTCCCGAAAAACAGAGCCAACGAAAGAAATCCGTGAGATCCGGAGTTGGATTTCTTAACTGAAATCCACTTCGAGTTCCGTGGTTTTTCACCGTCGAAATCCGTGTTTGAATTTCATGTTTTATTGCAAAATCCGAAATACGGATTTCAAATTCTAATTCCAGATTTCCCAAGCAAAAGCAACAAAGATTTTTTGTCCAACCTCATCTAGTTTTGTTTAAAGTTCAAGTATCTGAGGTCAAAACAAGTAGAACTTAAGCTAGACTGACCCGTGCCTCAGGTGTTCCTGTGAGCCGGATATCGTGGATGAAAGTTTGAGAACCCGGCGGACCCAAGTCTACACATCGACTTTGGTCTACAGGACAAAAATTTCGAGAGATGTCGAGAGAGATGACAATTAAGTTACCAATGTCAGTTGCGTCAGTTAAAAGTAGCAGCGAATGCTATCTTATGCTTGAAGGTTTTGAATTTAAAGAGCGATTCCACTTACGTTGAATGACGAAATCGGAATGACAAAACCGTTTCGAGCCTACTCTATCTTTGAAAGTTCATTAACGATTCTAACACTGGTCACTGAGGGTGAGGAGATTGCAGGGGGGTAAACATAACAAAGATTTAGCGTGTGTAGTTTCGGTGCTAAGAGCGTCAAGTATCTATTTTCCTTTGAAGCTCTTTTTTCTCTCTTTATGATACGATATTCTATTTTACGATTGCTGCCGGTTAAAAACAGATTCATGTTAGCGGTTCCTAAACCTAGCCTAAATAGGTGCGGGGTATGAAATTTTTTGGTTCTTAACTTAGCATCATACGTTTAACAAACAGCAGCTCATGCAAACTAGTAACTTATGCAGAGAAAAAAAACATCAAATCTTGTAATGGCGCGAGCACATAGGACTCAATCGAGTTTACCAAGGAAGCCGGCGAGTTGGCTGCTGGTGTTAGCTTGCGCACTGAGCAGACGCTAAAGAATGGTAAGAGTAACAGTGAAGCGGTGAATCGGCTATGCAGACTAATTGTTTCGACGAGTTAATTTTCGGCAAGTTCACTTGTCGGCATAGTGACCAGGCACCGTTTCGTGTTTTGAAATTAACAGGCAGCTCGATGAATACATCCAGGTTTGGAAAAATGGCCTCATTTCACTGGCTTCAGCTAATGATCCCAGTCTATGCTCTCAGACGGTGCGTGTTTGTCCGCCTGCGCAGCTCCTTCAAGAATTTAGAATTCTCTAAATGCTTTGTTTTCACGACTTATTCACGAAATTGGACCAAAATAATATCTTGTATATAATTACACTATCTAATTTGTTTAATTGCCTTTTAACAAATAATCGTAACCACTAAACCCCTCTGATAATCTGGCCGGCCCTCGATCAATCTCACTAGAAAAAATAAAATTCCAATGCACGGTATGTGCGTAATCGTATTATATTAAATCTTTGGATACAATGAAATATATGAAGTTCATATATTTAGAACTGCGGTATTAGATACATATGATGCACGATCCTCGCAGTAGAMAGCGCTATTTAAGCAATAGCGAAAATCAGACCTGAAAAAAATCAGGCCTGTACGGGATTCGAACCACTGACCTCTGCGATACTAGTGCAGCGCTCTACCAATTGAGCTAACAAGCCAACTGGGAGCTCTCAGTTGGCTTGTTAGCTCAGTTGGTAGAGCGCTGCACTAGTATCGCAGAGGTCAGTGGTTCGAATCCCGTACAGGCCTGATTTTTTTCAGGTCTGATTTTCGCTATTGCTTAAATAGCGCTATCTACTGCGAGGATCGTGCATCATATGTATATTAAATCTTTGTTATCTAAACCACTATATCAAAAATAGATTACTGCTATTCCTTTTGGGAAGGTCTAACCCAGTTCAATAGAAATCACTTTGGAGGGGGCATTTAATCGGCTCCTGGTAACTGACCTCGTGTATAATAAAAACATAAGATTAGAATTCCAATTTTTCATGGCCAAAATGACGCTCTATGACTGAACAGTCCTTGTCTGACGTTTTACTTTATATAACATGGACAGACAAGTAACTTGACTGGAAAAGTTCAATATACGGATAAAGTAAAACAACATCATGTGACGGTGAATTATTTCAATCAATCTAAGCTGTTTTTTCAGCAGATTTTTACTATTACTGTTTGAGACAATACCTCAGGTCCCAAGGTAATCAAAGTTAAGATGACCCTTACTATGTCAGCTTTTAGGTTTTAAGCCATGACTGTAACAATATCATCAGTTTGAAAACTTCACGAAAAACAGTATTTGAGAGACTTATTTACCTAGTCGTAAAATTCCTCAATAAAGCTGATTATAGGTTCTTTTTGTCTGATTTCAAAGAATAATGCAATTCAATAGTCAACGGAAATGGACAAACATGAAGTTTGGCGAATAACCGAGCAGGCAGGCAACGTTTCTCTTTCAAGTGCGAAATATCGCAGCTGCGCCGAATAGCCCTATAGTTATTGGCATCGGCATCATACTCAAAATTTTGTCTTTTCCAAAAGAACAATGACTGTTCAATGTCGCAAACTATTGTGGGAAGAGTGGCTCATTTCACTTTCGTTCATCTGAGTTCAAAGTCCAGGCCCCGGTTGTTCGAAGGCTTGTTAACGTTTTCAGGAGCCCATTACTTAAAAGTAATGGGCTCCTGCGTTATCCAGTGGTTAATATAAATCTCTATCCGGTGGATAGCGCATTACGTTTCGCGATTACTTATCCTCTGAATGGCGATTTATCCGTCGGATAGCGTTAACTACTCGCGCCGTTTCCATAACTGGCCCTGAAAGTTGCTGTGGCAGAAAGAAATCAGCGAAAAAAGTGACATCAGGGAAGCAGGTTTAATTTATATTCCGTAATCGTCAATGCTGAAGTTTATGGTCTACGTCATTCCTAACCGTTGAACATCTTGAGTTTGTTGCGTATGTTTTCCTAACTACACTCAAAACAACTTTGCGAGGACATTGCACGACCTATACCGACACCACCTGCGCACGAGAGGATTGTGAGAACTTGAGGAGGCGCGAAAAGCTCTTTACACACGTGTTTCATAACAACATTGCCCACCAAGGTCACCGCAATATGAATGGGTTTAAATTTATTTTCGGCATGGGTTAAAAATATTCTTTAGGTTGGGTTGTTTCAATGATAAAAAAAAACTCAAGACTGCAAATTATGTAGTTAGCCTTAGCTATAGCTCAAAGTTTTTGGTCAAATCTGGTTAGCATGAATGGTGGTCCAGATATTGAACGTAAATATGAAATTGAAAAACGTTCCCTTCTTATTGAAATAGGGACCGGATTTAACCTGCTCGACGCTAAAAGGTGTTTCTTGGGTCGTTTGCTATTCGATATCGATAATGCTAAGATGAGGTCCTCCTGTTTGCCAAAATTGATATGACTAATTGACTGGTTGCTCCGGGAACATACGGGTACCAGTTTGTTTTGATGCTCAACTTGAGTCATTTCTGGACAAAAATTTGTTTTTTTCCCGCGCGGATTAAGCAGCAGGAAAAAACAACAAAACTAATGCCTCCTGGTTTGTGATGTATCGTGTACCAGTTCTCGATAAGACAATTATTTCATCAGGAGCTTTGCCAGAAAGTGCTACGTAAAAGAGACGGATGAAAATAGTTTTATCATTTCAGTAACCTCTCGTCATATTCATCTACTGCTGTTAACTTTAGCAATTGAACACCTCGAATCTATATCATTTTTGCCACATTTTTTCGGGTTGTATTTTTAAAGCCCACGGAACATCGTACTTGCCGGAACTTTTTGCATTGCTTTCTTGTCCTTGATTGTGCTAATCTGCCAATTTTTTCAAAAAGCTTTCCCGTCCATGATCTTGAACTTTTCGTGTTTTACTCTCCGCATACCTTCTGCGCTACTGCGTAAATAAACCTGACCATCTCGTTTTTCGTGGAAATGATACTTTTCCGCAATGCAAGCTATTTATAATAGGGACACTCTAAAGTGGCCAGTCCAGACTAGATGACCCGTCTCAGTGGCTAATGATTTGTTCTCGTGCAGGATGCGAGATTGCTTATTATGCAAGCTGTTAGCAGTACAGGTGGTACCTACTGATAAACATCCGAACGTGTATTGGCCTCCGTCGGACATAGAATCGTGTAGTGCCGTGGAAAATCCGCCAGCAGTTAAAAACAACACTAAGATGGTTTTCCAGCTGTTTTGAGGGTGAAAGGTCATTTTATTCTGCTATCTGGCGAAACGAAGAAGTGCATACTTTAGTATTCCGTGGGAAATGATTACACAATACAGATTTACTCCCCTGGCGCGGAAAACAGCTTTCACTCATTATAAATTTCCTGTTGTCGAAAGAGGATCAGTCGGAAACTAAATACGCATGAGAAACAGGAAAAGACCGTTTTGCGTAGCACAATTACTGGTTGTTTTCTCGTACTTTCCTATTAAGCGGACGCGTCAGAATTCATCTAGAATATAGAATGCCGACCGGCTATCGATCTGTAGTTCGAAAACTGGGGCCGTGTTCCATTTGTAATCGACGTACTTAAGCCAGTGGTACTTAAACATTGGCAAGAGACGTGTTGCTAGGTCATTACCTCAACATTTCAACTGTTTGACAAAACAATAGTGCCATGGGTCAATTGCGTTTAAATTCGTAGACGCAATAGGCATGTTGTTCCTTTCGAGAAATTTATGAGTGCAAATTTTCAATCACGTAAAGCCACTGAAGTTAAAAGACAATCAAAAGGGAGATTGAAATCAACATGATTAACACGTAAATATGCTGATTTCATTGTTTTCTTCTTGAGGCAATTAGTTTACGTGGTCTGCAATTGAATAGAATTTTTGAACAGAATGTATGGTGTTACATGATTAAGACGCAATATTCAGAGATTTTTTAGCTCAAATCGAGCCTACACTAACGCCTGAAGAGTATATCAACCATTCCTAGTATGTTTTGTTAGATTGTTGTACCTTGTGTTGTATTGTTTCATTGACCCGCGGAGACCGAAAAATCAATACAGATTTGCACTTTAAAACAAAAACGCCATGAGGGCATTTGTGCAGAAAAATCTAAACATTTTTTAAATATTAAGGATCTACGATAGAAATAGTATTTTTGCTGTAGTAAATTACTTAGCTCTGAACGATGCTATTTTAACACTATGTAGTTTCATAAAAATGTAGATGTCGGGTTAAATTTCTTGGTTAACTTGTGAACTGTCAATCATGATACCGCAGAGTATCGCACTTATAAATCCTCGTAAACTTGCTCGGTTGAAATGTAATCCAGTCCTAACCCTGCATACTTCAAACCTTTAATAACTTGAATCTTTACGATAATCTTTGTCTGTTCATAGACTGTAGCATGGATTATAGAGGTTTTTAGTTAGCTTCTTTCATTGGGTATATTTAGAACAATGCTCTTCTAATCATCCGTGACCTTTTGAAAAGTTTACTAAGGTAATAAAATCTCTTTGAACTCCTTTAATTCCTTGCGCAACAGAAAAAATTTCAAATACATTTCCCGTAAAGTGCCTATATTCTCATCTTTCTTACAGTGCATCGATGAAGCGTCAGCGGTTGGGAGAGAAAATCCGAGACGCAAATATACTTGGCAACCTGTCAGCAGATAAAAATTCATTGAAATTTGATCTACAAAAACCCTTAGGTGTCAACACTCATTTTGTTGGTCATGGGCGGTTGGTTTTAAGTGCTGGAATGCTTGGAACGTAACCTTTAGCTCCACCTTGTTCGATTTTAAAGGTAGGAAATAAAGCGTTAATGAAAGCGAAAGAGCAACCAGTCAATCATGTAATACAGAGACCATGTCTGATTGCTTTTACTATCAAACGATTTGGGAAATCGAAGTAAAAATTTCAATCCTCACGGTGAGATTGTGTGATAGCTTCATAATCGTTTCCGGTGGAGTTAAGATTTTGCGGCCAAAGATAGTCTTCTATACGCCCGTGCCGCTACTCGCTGATTGGTCAGTTAATGAAAGACAGGAAGCTGTCACAATGCACGTTGCCTAGCGTAAGTGGAAAATCTACCCAGCAACGTGGAGACGTCGGTGTGCATATGCCTAATGACCGATTGTCAATTATAAATTTACAGAATCCCAGATTTTTGGCTCTCTTCGCACCTTGCGTAGCGCAAGCACACTAGACAGCGGAGCTTAGTTGCGCCGGGGGTCAGTCGCGAAGAGGCCACACGCTAAAGGTAGAGATTCAGCAGCATTCCTTCCATCCGTTGGAGTATCTGCTGCTGTAATCAAAGCCTGCGACTGCAAACTGGCTTACTTTATATCCCCGGCGCTCTCCGTGTCAGCGTAGCGCATGACTTCCGCTGCCAGCGTCGAATCTAACATGGAACTGTTGTGTTGCGAGGGACCTCGAGTTCGGTACGCATACCAAGATCCAATTCTACTTCAAGATGATCGTGTTCTGCGTAATTTACTGACCTGCGAAGACAAATACATTCCCAGTTGTAGATACTTCAACATTGTACAGAAGGAGATTGAGCCTCACATGAGGCGAATGGTTACGAAATGGATGCTAGAGGTAAGTACGAACACGAACATCCTTCTTTTAATGTGTATATCCCTTTGCTGAACTGCGATGTGATAATGGTGCTAAGATTTGCCTTGTTTTGAATTTGTCAGGTGTGCGAGGAGCAAATGTGCGAAGAAGAGGTCTTTCCACTGGCAGTGAACTATTTAGACCGATTTTTATCGGTCGTACCAACCAGAAAATGCCAGCTTCAACTGCTTGGCGCTGTGTGTATGTTTATTGCAAGCAAACTTAAAGAGACATCACCGCTATCGGCTGAAAAGCTGTGTATTTATACAGATAATTCCATCACGTGTCAGGAATTACTGGTAAGTATACGATATAAAAAAATTATTACTTTAGGAATATGTTCATTCATAATTTCATTCATTTCTTCTCTGTTGTTCGGGTGCTTGCGGTCTGGCAGCTGATTTCAACGAGTTGTAAATCTATCTCCGGTTAAGTGTATTTCTAACTAAATACCAGAAAACGTGATTTTCCTTGTTCTTTTATGGTAACGTTTTTTTCTCTCTTTATCTTATTCGTGCAGGATTGGGAAATTTTAGTTCTTGGGAAACTTAAATGGGACTTGTCAGCCGTTACTCCTTACGATTTTCTAGAGCAGATTTTTAGCCGCCTCTCCTTACCCAATGAAAGCGTGATCCGAAAGCATGCGGCGACTTTCATCGCTTTATGCTGCACAGGTAAGACGAGCTTCCTATCTATTTACTTTACAAAGATAAGGATTATATCTCAGTCTTCAAGACTGTCTGCGCCCGCCCATCATACCTTAACTTCTTTAAAATGTATGCCACCACTGAACTCGTCTATTGTAGCACTTTACTCCKRSCCRTTTTTTTTTTTTTTTTTAATTCTTCATTTTTCAGATGAGAAGTTTTTGATGTACCCACCATCCACTTTGGCTGCGTCGTCTATTTGCGCGGCTGTTGCTGGTCTCACAACAACAGAACAAAAAAGCGAGTGGACAAGAGGAGAACTTGAATCATTCCTACAAGGGCTCACAAATATCGAACCGGTACGGATGAAAGGAAAAAAATTGTATAATTTGAATTAAAAAGTGTTCGGAATGACTTGTCATTTATGCCGTGCAAACAAAGTTTTGCAAAGAGCAAATAAGGAAAAAGCCATGCGCAAATTTTGATAACACCCGCAGGTTTTTCACACATTTATCTCTTGTTTTTAAGATTTCAGTTTTTTACTTTTTTTGCACCAAGAGGCCCGCGCTTTGGTCATTTGAGATATCATCAGCTAGAAAGAGAAACATTCTTCCCTAAGACACAACGTTTCTTTGCATAAAAATGAAAACGCTAAAACAAACAAAGTGGAAAGTGATCTATTTTAGGATTTTTTTTTTTCAGGAATACTTGCAATCGTGTCAAAGACTGATGGAAGAAGTACTTCATTTTAATGTCACGGAAACTCCATTAGATAAAATCGAAAATGGAAGCTCGCCGAGTACGCCGACAGATTTACAGGAAATCCATTTTTGACAGAGGCATTTAGTGGACTGTCACAGAACCTTCCGTGTGTGTGTGCCAACCTATCTATCGTGTGTAAATACTGTAATAAAGACTAGAATTTTCTCAAATTGCCGTCGTTTGTTTCCAAGTGTGTGGCTTGCCAGCGCCCGAGTTGTTTTTCATGCAAAAAACGCTCGAGATAACACGCTCCGGTTTCCTTTCTCTTTAAAGTGCACGCATCGATAATTAGAAGTGACGTCTTTGTTCAAAGAATGCGTTTGCCTTCAGAGAGCAAATGGAATTAGGCCCACCGAAGAGTGAAAGGCATTCTTTAAGAGAAAGCAAATATCACAAATCCTTTAGCTTGAATTTGAAATGATAACAAGTGTGTTTTGTGCTGCTTAGTTAACGATGTGTTATGTTTACCAACCCACACGCTAAAAAATGCTACCAATTTGTTTACACCCTTCTCTTTATCACCGTCCGAACCCAAGCGGTGTCAATTAAATGGACAGCCTTGGCACTAATTCGCCCAACTTTGACAGCCAAAGCATGGCCAGTGAAATTGTGCGGTTATTATTTCAGGTGCACACTTTCGACATGATTTAAACACGCGATAGAAATCTATATTTGCCCTATGTGTGTTTTAACCGCGCTGCCTGCCCTCAAACTCTGATGTACACCTGTCTTGAACATGAAGCCACGTGCTAAAAAATTCCTTGGATGATTTTTGAAAACGTCATTCTTCAATTAACGTTATCTGTTTTCGAAAGTGTTATTATCTCTGATTTTAGAGTTCAGTTTTCTTAATTGCCGATCGCTAATAAGGACACGTAGCATAGTTAAGGTGGCACTACTATTAATTATTTTTGCGTCACGGCGACAGAACTTGAATCGTGCTTGGTTATAGTTCATTGCATGATGTTGTCTCACAATCAACATACTGAAGTGCGAGCTATGCGGAGCCACCGTTGTTTTCGGAAAATGTTCCCACGAGTAGGTTAAAAATTCAAATCGATACGGGTCAGGAATTTCATAAAGGCCACCGGTTAGAGGGTACACAGACAACAAATTACCTTTTCTTCTTCAAGATTTCTGATGATGCCGTTCCGTCGCAAATTTCCAGAAATGGATCACTACTGCCAAACAAACAGGAGTGTTTTCTCACTATTACATGATCAGACTTAAGAAAGTACAACTACATTCGATCCCGTTACATTTGCCACCGGGCTGTTTGCAAGACCAATGACTCCACTGACGCTTGACTAGGTGTCTATGCAGGACAATATTTCTTTATCAGTCGTAACTTATTTGTCGACTGAATTTCAAGTTACAAAGCTCTACATTGCGATTTTAATGAATGTGCTGAGCTGCCATGATGAAATCCTACTTTCCTGAACAGTTACCTGTTCTAAAATTAGAATTTTTTCCGCAATTTTTGTTTAGACAAACAGCATAGCCCGCACTTCAATGAGCAGGTTCTCGAAACTTGAAAATATCCGGACAAGGAACTTAGATTCCCAAACAACGAATCTTAATTTCAGTGTTAATGGGTAATGGAAATAGACTTGTATGTGTCTGACCACAATGATGATAACTAAATCCTGGATCTCTTTATTCTTAAGAAACAGTTTTGTGAAAAGGTTTTAGTTATGTACCAACTGAATGTTATGTAATAGGCACTGTCAGCTGCTGCTCTAGAAAGAGTTCACTTTTACAGCGCAGCTCGTTAGTAAGAATTCAAACTGAGTAGATATATTCGTAAGGAAAACAGACAAATGTTCCATGAGACTTTTTAATACTAATGCTTTTAAATTTTGAGAGGAAACTGTGTCTGAGATTCTCATTAGTACACCTGTTATGGTGTCACCCGCGAATATTGCTGGTTGTTACAAAGTTTGAGTTTATCTGCGTTTTAAAATTTTGTCTCAAGCGATTATCGGTAATTATTTGCTTTATCTTCCTACATTGGCAACATGGCAAAACATTATGCAACGGAAAGAATGATGATTTTCTTCGCCCGGAGTGTGAAGTTCGTGTCCCATATATACTGCTTTCCCAAGCAGTAATATCAGTGGAAACTGAAAAGACACTTGAACGCAGATAAGAAGTTGGTATCAGTTGCTTCTCCAAACATAGTCCACCCTTTCTCGACTTTAATTAGATAAATAAGTATTCCATTTAAGCCTTCCTGAGTGTCGGCTTAGTATTCAAAGTAAATATTTCAGTTTTCAGAAGAACCGGCCACTCTTAAACACTTGCATCGCAGAGATAACTTGGCCTCTTATCAGAATCCAACGATTGATGGAAAAAAATCACCAAAGTGTAGAGGTATCTTAATACTGGGGCTTGAAATACCTAGGCGTTTTTTCTAGCAGGATTCCTTAGCTTCTGGACTGAATCCGCACATAAAGGAATTACGCATGATCGCGAGCGTGCTAGTAATGAAAGAT